GCTTAGATCCATGTCATTATTGTTTTAATCTACGTCATGTGTTGCTTAAGTGCCAGTTTTTGTAAGGATCAGGCAGTTCAAATAAAAATCAAAACATGGTCAGAAAAAACCGCCAACCTTACCATGTTATTTTGAAGAACCATCATTCTGAGCCAGAAACAGTATGTCTTTCGTTTCTGTATGTTTGGTAATTCAAAATAACTCTGGATAAGTTTTGTTTAGAATGATAGCAAAATACGGAGTTATCTCCCCTTAAATGTCAATTGGTAGTGCATTTCAACCAAATTGTATCTTCTATTACCAGAACAAGAAAGGGAAAAGAAAAGTATGTTCTTGCATTACTACTTATTATGAACTGAAACCAATGTAAAGTTCAGTGGGTTTTTATTCGTCAAGTTTTCACCACTGCCTGATTCTTATTCAGACAGGAACTTAAATCCGCTTCATTTGTTGTTTGAATTTGCGCATTTGTTGCGTAAATCAACGTCATGTGTTGCTTGAATCCATGTCATTTTTTTCTTGAATCTACGCCATTTGATAATTAAATCTACGTCTGTTAAACTTTGATGGATAGTTGTCATATTTGCAATCATAACACACCTCATTATGTTATACTTTCTTACCTTTTCAGACTCTGTAACCAATGTATTTTAGAACTGAATGAAAACTGTCCACGTTAAAACAAGAACCTGACTGGATATTGTTGATATCATATCGAATGTTTTGAGAATTTATTATCTTTTCTAAAATAGTCGCACGTAGATACTAAGAGCTCTTAATGTCAAACTGTCAAACTATCGTAAATTTAGTTGATAAAAATAAATATATTTGTTAGAAGTTCTGAAATAGGTTTACTAGTTGACAATTGTGATTTTACGAGTGGCACAAACTATGCAGCTAGGTATAAATTAAGGTAATAAATCATCAAAAATCTATGTAATGCTTCTAGTTTATTTGCATGTCTTTAAATTTGGGGGATTTGTTTAGTTTTTTTAGGCTTTTTTTTTGTTGTTGTTGCATGCATATGTTTTAACATACGAATTGATCGTTGCAATGACTCAGCGTTTCAACTTGTTGCAAATATTTTTACTCTTGATTACAATCAATCATACATATTAGAATAATGTCAAATTGACTATATCGATTCTGACATGTTCCCGCACTTCATGTAACATCAAAAAGATTTAACGTCTGTACCCTTTAAAAGAGAATAGCACATTCTAATCTAAAAAAAAAACATCAAAGAAACACTGAAAGAATAAGTCGTACTTGGTTTCAAAAACAATATTAGCCAAAATTTAATTAAATTTCATGTTTTATAAAAAGAACATTTTTAAAGATTCTTTGTAAAAAAAGAATTTAAATTCAAACAAAGTTCTCTGAAACTGACATCATCATGCTTGCAGACAATTTAACTAAATGTTGTGAAAATTCTCCTTTTATTTGCAACTGGCTGGTTGTTTTTATATGCGCAAACAATTGTGAGAAACGAGTATTAGACATGGATAGCGTTGGCATATAATTATAGAATAGGAAAATACTTAAAATGTGCAATATCAAAATGAAAGGAGAAGGTGTGATTGCTTATGAGATATCCACCCATCAGATACAAACATAAAATATGTAAACAACTATTATTTGTCACTTTACCATCTTTAACAATGAGAAAAAACCCGAAACATATTGTAAGTTGTAAAAAGGCCCGGCATGACAAAATGTACCTCCATCTTCTAACGCGAAATAACTAAAAAAGAAAAACAACGGCTTGATCAATGCTTGAAACAATTAACGAAATAACAAATATGCCAGACAGCAGTCAAATTCAACCACTGAATTACAGACTCCAGAATTGTTACAGGCACATACAGAGTATGACGGGGTAATTGTCAGGGCTCAACCCTCGACTAATACGGGACAGTGGCGTAACAACACAACATGAGAACAAACTGTAATCATCAGCTAGAAAGGGTTTGTTTCTTCTTGTACATATTTAGCCTGAATATGCACTAAACAAATATACATGTGCATATGAAATAAAATATACGTTCTGAAAAATCGGTATCATTTGAATTACACCTAAATGTGTACATCTATGTTCCTATGAATTTTAAAGCTATCTTTTGGTGCGATACATTATCTTTTTTTAGTTCGATTTCAGTATGTTTCATTTTCAGAAATGTTTCACTACTGATGTCCTAGTAAAACTGGGAAATGTCCGTATGGACAAAAATATAACTGAAATAATTATAAAAAACAATATTAAAAATGTATTGGAAAAGGTCAGTACTAAATCAGTACTGAAAAATCAATACTGGTACACTTCTAAAAGAAAAACAAGTATTGAAACGACTACGACGGACACCAAAATTAAAAAATAAACAATTGTGCCAATTAACGTATTAGCAAGACAATAACACTTAAAATACGTGTGTTGTGTTATAAGCGACTTTCTGGAATTACCTTCACCAGGTACACTTTTAATCAAATATTTGAAAGGAAAGGAGTTATAAATACTTGAGACACTTTGTGATACGAAAGAAAGTAATATGACGTTTCTATCTTGTAATAATTGTTCAGTATATATTTTACTGTATATGCAACATGCTCTTTATTGGTTGGTGCAATAGCGGATCCAAAAGTGTGTGTGTGTGTGGGGGGGGGGGGGGGGGGGGGGGGGTTCCGGGGGTAGGAACTCCCCCTTTTTTTTTTGAACGATCAATGCTTTTGAATAGAGACATATGGTTGAAACCTCCCTTTATCCTAGAGTGGGAACACCCTCCTCCCCCTTTTAAAAATGGCTGGATCCGCCCCTGTCGGTGATTAGTTTAATAAAGTATTCGTATTTTATAGAGGGTAAATGTACAAAAATGCACACTTAGCAGATGGTAACTAAATTCCAATAAAGTAAAAATATTTAAAAGCATTAAAAGCACAAGTAAAATCACGAACTCAAGATCATAATATTAATTCTAATATTAAATTTAAACAAATATAACAAGTATGATGTAAAACATATGCAACAGTTATAATTTAGTCGCAAATATTTAATAAAATAGCATTGCCTTTATACATTATTTACTTAAGACATCTGTATATGTATTGGAGAAAAAGTTATCGATTAGGCTCCTGGCGATGGACACATCTGATATTACATTTTTATATGTTTATTAAACAAATCATCGTGTTGCGTTTTCCATTATCTTAATACTATTGATTTGTCGATAAACCTATTGGGTATAGTGGAAGTTGGTGTGGTTGTCATCCGCCGTCCAATAACTAATTTTCAGTGGTGTAGACAATTGCTATGATCTAAAATGCAAATCTAAATAGGCAATCTGTATATTTTTTAGGGGACGGAGGATAAAATGACACAAAATAATTAAGATGCAACTGTATACATAGTATTTGAGGCTAGTTAGCCCTAGATGGTTGATGTAATTTTATTTAAACCTCATTTAGTTATAGTGAAGTAGCTAAGGTCTAATTATATTGAAGCACTTTTTCTGAGAGGGGTCTCGCTACTTTCGATGCAGTATGTCCTTAGTTAATCCGAATCCCTAACATGATTCTGGCATTGATACTTCTTTAAACTCAATGATTTAAGGTTTATATATTTGATAGCGTTTTGACATTTGTACTGCATCTCACTTGTATAATATAAGGCGAATAACCTTGTAATTAAGAGTTTGACCAGTGGCATTGTCTGTCGCCCATCAATGAAGACTATAAGGTTAACATTGGTTTGTTTTTTGGAGTTGCTGTCTCACTGGTGTTTATACAACATCTCATTTGCTATCTTTTCGTCAAAAAATAACTATTCCCTCACTATCAACAATTAGTAAACAACTTGTAAACATGTAGTAAATGCTTAAATTAATATCCTACTACAGTATCATTAAATAATGTTCATAATACCATAATCGAACAAAAAAAAAAACAAATAATTAGAAAAAAATATAACCATAAAAGTAAAAGTGGAACTGTTAAATAACTGTACAGTACCTTGTTTCTTCTTTCAGTTTCAAGCGACCCTTCATAATAAATTGAAGATAATTCATCGGGCATAAAAATTATTTATATGGCAGTATTAAACTTTATGTTTGCGAAATATTAAAGGCACATGTATTAGCTAAAGAATACCTTTGAAACAAGTAAACAAACCACAATCATACATTTTGATAATTGAAAATTTCTATGTTTAATAAGTTATTTTTTATCAGACGTCACTATGATGCTTTTTGAACTCTTTGTCATGGTGTCGACCGCGAGTCTCGTTTCTGGGTGACCTTTTGTTTTGACATTCTAAATAACTGCCTCGTAACCAAATATAATATAGTTTACGCATGGCCTTATACAATGGAAAAACCAACACCGTATACTAGTACAAAATGTAGTTAGCTATGAAAGCTCCGGAATGACAACATGCGAAACAACTCAAAAGAGAGAAAAAAAACAACCTGATTAGTACTACAACAATGAAACGTAAATGAGGAAAGATACCAAAAAGAACATTCAAACTCAAAGTCCTAAATAAACTGACAACGCCATGGAAAAAAAGAAAAAAACCAAAAGACAAAATACTGTACACAAAACACAAAATAGAAAAATAAAGACTGAGCAACACGAACTCCACCAAAATCCGGGCGTGAAATACATTCTTTCTGGTCGATTTTACTGTTAAAATTTCTCTCTACTTATCTGTTATAGTTTTCAAGATAATATATAACCCAAAACTGTTTTTGAGATATAAGACCAACAAATGTTTTTTTACTCATGTTCTATTTTTAGCAACATATTAACCATAGTTGATGATGGATCGAATCCCCGGTTACTTTGTTTAACTAAACACCCTAAGGAAAATTCAGGTAAAGTTGGTAACACTTGGATCATGAGTTTCACAGGAGAAGATTTTTTTAAGTTAACGACGACAACGGACGCCACATGATGGCAAAAGCTCACGTTGCTTTTATGCCAGGTGAGCTAAAATCATGAACTCAGGATAATAATAATAATAATAATTTTAATATATAATTTAGCAAAAAAAAAACAACAAGTATGATGTAATACACATGCAACAATTATTACGTACACTGTATTTGAAAATTAAATAGCAGCAAAGATTTAATAAAAATAACATTGACTTTATACAAACTTTACGCTAGACATCTGTATATGTGTTGGAGAAGATATTGATTAGACGTCTGGTGATGGACACATCTGATAGTACACTTTTATATGTTTATCCAAAAATTCATCGCGCAGAGTAAAATGTTGCCAATCTTCAGTAGTTGTAGACAATTGCTATGATCTAAAGTCTTAATAAGCAATCTGTGTATTTTTAGGGGAGGGCGTACAATGACACAAAATAATTAGATGCAACTGTATACATTAGTTAGCCCTAGATGGTTGATGCAATTTTATTTAGACCTCTTTTAGTTATAGTGAAGCAGTAAGGTTCTAATTATATTGGAGCCCTGTTTCTCGCCCCATCCCGCCCCTACTTTCAGTGTAGAGTGTCCTTTAGTAAGTTAATCCGAATCTCTAACATGATTCTGGCATTCATACAACTTTAAACTCAAGGATTAAAGGTTTATATTTGATGGCGTTTTGACATTTCACTTGTATAATATAAGGCGAATAACCTTGTAATTAAATAGTTCTATATGGTCTGCTGTCCATCAACGTAGACTATAAGGTTAACATTACTTTGTTTGTTGGAGTTGCTATCTCGTGGTGTTTATCCAACGTCTCATTTTCTATTTTTTTTTAATCAAAAAGTAACAACCAACAACTTGTAAACATGTAGTCAATGCTTAAATTCATATCCTTACAGTATTATTTAAAAATATTAAGTTATAATAACATAATAACATAAAGGGTCCTCGGTGGCCGAGTGGTCTAAGTAGTTACTACTGTAATCACTAGCCAGTCAGCACTGTGGTTGAGAGTTCGAACCCCTCTCGTGCAGGTGCACTCGACTCCAATCTTAATTGACTAGGATTGTCAGTTTTCCTATCGAAGGTCGGTGGTTTTCTCCGGACACTCCGGCTTCCTCCACCAATAAAAATAGGCCGCCACGAAATAGCCCAAAAGCGGTGCTTAAAAGTGGCGTTAAAACACCAAAAATCAAAAATCAAAATCATAATAATGTAATAAAAGGAAAAGAAAGAAAACCAATAATTATATAAAAAAATATAGATATACCGTGAGAAAAGTAAAAGTGGTACTGTTTAATAACAATATTTAATTTGTTTGCGAAATAATAAAATATTAAACGTACGTGTTCATGTGTTAGCTAATAAAACACCTTTGAAACAGAAAAAAAACAAACCACAATCATATATTTTGAAAATTGAAAACATCTAATCTATCAAACGTCACTATGATGCTGTTTGCACTCTTTGTCATGGTGTCGACCGCGAGTCTCGTTTCTAGATGACTTTTTGTTTTGACATTCTAAATAACTGCCTCGTAACCAAATATAATCCAAATCTTTTTCGTCCACTGGAGTAATACTGGTATCCAACGACTCAACACATTGTTTCTGCGGTTTCCTATTTGGTTTAGGTAAAGTGTTCACATCTACTTTCAAATCTACTTCTATAGAACATTGTTTGTCTTTTAAAAGTGCTGAAATTACAATTTTTTCTATAAGTATGTTTCTTCTCTAATTTGCAAGTCAGTTTAAAGCTAAGCGTGGACATTAATGTTTATGAATACTCTTTAAATTTAATTATTTTAAAATAAAAAGTAAAATAGCAAAAATACCGAACTCAATGGAAAATTCAAAACGGAAAGTCCTTTATCAAATGGCAAAGTCAAAAGCTCAAAAACATCAAACGAATGGAAAACAACTGTCATATTCCTGACTTGGTACAGGCATTTCGGTGTATTGAATCTGGTTTCATGGCTAACTAAACCTCTCACTTGTATGACAGTCGCATATAATTCCATTATATTGACAACCATGGGTGATAAAAAAAAAGACATAATAGGTAACATTGTCAAAAATTGGGGTACAGCAGGCAACATTGTGTTATAATCTTAATCCCAATTAAAACAAATAACTATTTCAACGAAGAAAAACAAAATGGCATATAAACACTCTACAGACATTAAAAATGAAAAAGAAGAATAAAAAAATTGACAATAGCACAATAACGCAATGTATATATATCGAGCGACGGCAAAAGCATACATGTATTATCAAAAATGGACTTTACAACGTGTTAAACATACATCTAAATATTATAATAATAACCAGATTGACAGTATTAAATTAACTGCACCGAATGAGCAATCCGACAATTAACGTCTCTCTAGTGATGCTTCTTAGCAAAATACTTAAATTAAAGCTTAAAACATAATACAAACGAATGAGAAGCTGATAAAACAAAATGAACAAAAGTTAAAGCAAAACCTAGACAAGGAATCCGAGCTGTGCACCGTCCTAAACGAGCAATATAAGAAAGGTATATAGTTGATCGACTATTGGAAGTGGTGAAAGCTTCGAAAAGTTTGTGCAAATAACAATATTCCAATTCTGTATTTTGATTAAAGTCATATAATAGAGCTTGTGTCAAATGCAATTTTTTTTATGAAGGAATACGATTTTTTAAATTCTCAGAAAACATATTTTAAGTGTAACAAATGATTAATTCTTTGAAAACTCTTATAATAGAATATGCGATCGGTCCATGCATATTATGAAAATTAACTATTACAAAACTTACCGACTAAGGCATTCTTCCTTTTTTCGAACTCTTTATTGAGCATCTCGACGAGAAAGGTTTGAGTTTTATTTCGTTGTATTGAAAGCACTAACATTTCATAAGCTTGAGGTCCTTTTGTGAGAAGAATATCCAAAAGCTTTCCAACTTTTGAAGTTTGCGTAGTTTCTTTTTTTATATTTTCTGAATCATCTTTCGTTATGATAAACTTTGACCTGAGAAAGTCAAAATGATCTTCTGGATTTATGTATTTGCAAAGATAAGACCGTTTTTCCTCTAAAATCTGAAAAGATAGGAAACTCTTTGAACAAATATGCTTCAATAATAACCATATATTCGTTGATTGAAAAATAGGTGATTTCCATTTACATAACAAATGTGAAAACATTACAAAAACACCTTATATATGGGGAAAAAAACTTGCAAAACATAGAAATTTCTGTGGTAAAAACGCATTGGAGTAGAACAATAGGCGCAATTTCATCAAGAAGCTTAAGATTCAGCACTGCTTTGACGAAAAAGATAGAAACGGACTCTGTTGGATAGTTATCTCATTGGAAATCATACCACATCTTCTAATCTATATAGCAAAACAGTAATTAAATGGGGCCAAAAAAAAAGAGAATAAAACAAATAAAATTAATTTTTTCAAATTCTTGTTAGTGTTGAAATTTTTCAATTTACCCCATTTTGGACGTGCTTTGTGTCTTTGTTATTGCTGGTTTGTTGTTGCTATTTTCACGATTCAAAAAAGTATACGAGAAAAAAATTGGAATCAGTTTAAAAATTCTATTTCCTCAAATGAATGTTTCCTTGAATATTTGCTATCCGATTGGTAAAACAAAAAATATTGTAATTGTTTTCACGACAGCGCATTTCCACAATAAAAACAGCGTAAGAAGTACAAAAAAATATTCTGAAGTATCATGCCATGATTAATTTGATTATCGTGGCCGTGGGTACGCCTCAAACCACACACTTTAAAATTGTTATGTGTTGTTTATACGTCAAACACACGGCATTTAGAAGTATTGTCAAAGATAGGTCGGAGCTGAATAGCGCTAACGTATGAGGTCTCCCTGCATACGGGTACATTGCAAGCTTTCATGGTATACCCCCGACTCAACGTGTTGGTCTAGTACAAAGTAGTATGTATTTATATCGAATTTACATGCTTTTGTCCTAAATATGCTTGTAATGTTTGTCTACGGACGTTCAAAAGCCATTAAATTATCACTCTATAAATCCTTATTGTCTGACGTCACGAAAAATTCAATAGGTGGACATTCGTTTTAATGATGATGGTCATAAGTTGCATTGCATTGGGTCGCGCGGGGAACAAAGAGCAGATTAACTAACCAAATTGTGTTGTATGACCAAAAGAAGATGTGATATGAACGGCTTTTAGACAGCAATTCAACAATACAAAACACAAGATAAGTCAGGAGCCTGTGATTCAGCTGTTGTCGCTGTTGCTGTATATCATGTTTATTTTCTTTGTTTGTTGTTTTGTACATAAATCAGGCCAGATCGTTGGTTTTCTCGTTAGAATTGTTTTACATTTTGTCATGTTATGGCCTATTATTGATTGCTATGTGGTATGGGTTTTGCTCATTGATGAAGACCTTACGATGACCCATAGTTGCTAACATCTACAACACATGGTCTCTTGTGGATAGTTGTCTCATACCACATCTCCTTATTTTATATAATTATATATTGGAGTCAACAGTGCAATACACTTGACTTGTTGCTGTTTAATTGTACCGCCCTTTACTGCGTCACATTCTATGATTTTATATCGCAGGCATTTTTTCTAAGCCTTAGCATGTATTAGATAGTGAAACTTGATAAGCTACTAGTATTTAAAAGCTTATACTCGTCTTTTAATTACATTCTACACTTTGTATCTCACCCCCCCCCCCCCCCCCCCCCCTCCCCCCCCCACCCCCCCCCTCTCCACGGAATTCTCTCATCCGACAGTCGAACTCATGCATAAGACAATCTTCCAATGCGGTGTTTGGGATGTATAAATACACAGCCACACCCAGTCGGAACGAGGACGTTAAATGGGATTTTTTTACAAATCATATCCGTATAATTTAATGTTGATTTATTCTCTTCCTGCACATACCTGAAATATTTGCCACTGAACGTTAAATAAACAGTTATCACCGCATTCATCAAGATAATACAATCATTATTATGTTGTTTAACTGAATTTGCTGCGCGCAAAGTGTTTTTTTCTATAAAAGGTACGATTACAGTCAAGGTTTGAAAGCAATTATGGCAGTTATATTAACTATGCACTTTTACAACTTTTAAACTTAAATGTATTCAACTTGCAAAGTTAATAGTTATCAGAAACAATAATGAACCCTGAAAAATAATAAAAAAAATTATAAAAGGTATCACGCTTTGTTCAATTCCAAACTCAAGCGGTAGTATTTCATATTTGTTATAGAGCAGTATACAAAATGATTGTACACTATGTTTGCTCACGATTATACATGAATGTAGAAATACAATAATTTGTACATATACACACCAATATCCGGTATTTAACTACATGTACTTACTTTAACAGTTTAAGATGGTGTGTTTATTTACCTGTTCCGGTTGAAATGGCATAAGCTATTTAAAAGTGATAATTCTCGCAAATAATTCTATGACAATATAATAGAAATAATATTTATATTTACATAACGTTTAGCATTCTCTAAAATTTCTTCTTCTTCAACTTTTTCCACAGATGGCATCATATCAACAGAAACGGTTACATGGGAAAGCCAGCGTTATTTCCTTGTTTATCTTAAGGTTGTACACTAAAGGTAAAATCCCCGACGGTAATTTAACTTGTATCCGTTATATTATATGATTTAATAATAGGACATTATTCTACACTAAACTTTTTGTTATGTGCGGAAATTACATTTGATTTATTCTTCCCGCTAAATTCCAATTATATATTATACATAATTATATCAAATTAACAGCAATAAAAAATAAATTATAATGATAAATCAATCAAATTTGTGTATTGCCATATAAGCTTCAAACAGTAAGTTTGTGACAAATACACATACAAAATATGTACACAACTTAAATGAAAAAAAAGGGGAGAGGATACCAAGGGGACATTTAAAACTCAAAAATGTGAGTCGAAGTGAATCCGAGAACGACATGGCAAAAAACGAAAGGCGACGATTGATTGATTGTTGGTTGCTTGACGTCCAGTGGCAAATATGTCATGCATGTTCAGGACGAAAACAAATTAACAATAAATACAATAGGTAGTTCCTGTAATATAGGCCGTCTGGGATGAAGTTGGGGGGAAATTTGGACTACCACGGGAAAATGAGGGTATACATGTATTGGATAGGGACAAAAATTTTACCTAGCAACAGGCAACCTACGAACCCCTCAAAAGAGTTGTTGCAAGGGTTCGAAACGTGCAAAGAACGCGTCGGATTTCAGAAACAACTTCCGAAGGGATGACTTTAAATTAACAATTATGTAGCAAGAAAAATATGATAGGAAACGCAAGCTCTGGAACATCGTATCAACTGAGAGATATATTTATATGTATATACTATTATTATAGACCAGTTAATAGTAAAAAAAGCCCAATCGTTAGTTCTAATTACTTTTTATGTAAGATCCGAATGCAATCACTAGTGATGGTGTTAATGGATTTTGATTTAAAATCATCTTTTCTTCAGGAGAAAATTCTTGATCAGAAATGATTCTCCATCAATCTCTTAAGAGTTGTCAAACTAATGACATTGATAAAATAAATTATAAATAATAATGAATAGTTATTATTACCATGAGTAAACTAGCCATTTGATTCGTCAACCACTTGGTCTTGTTTAAACTAATGACAGTACACACGTTACTATATATCATCCTAAGATGAAAAAGACATAATGGCCCTTATTTGAAGGGAATTAATCCAATCTCGTCAACAGCTGCTTACACATTTTTAGAAATTATGCAATACTAGGCGTATGTACCCTCGAGGACTTTGAGTTTATAAGCGGTAGTATCGAACCCTGTAATCTTTCAACGGTTTGTTTTTGCTTCATCTGATGCACATTTCTTGGTTTGACACAAGGGAAGCTCAGAGCAAAATATAATTCACTATAAAGATAAGAAGATGTGGTATGATTGTCAATGCGACAAATATCCACCAGAGGCCGAAGGACGTGGATTTAAGCAACTAAAGCCTTCAACCATGAGTAAAACCCATACCATGAAGTAAGCTATGAAAAGCCCCGGTATGACAAAATGTGAAACAATTCGAACAAGAAAACTTACATTTTTTGTACATAAAAATTGCTCATTGTTGGAGGCCGTACGGTGACCTATAGTTGTTAATTTCTGTGTCATTTGGTCTCTTGTGGAGAGTTGTCTCATTGGCAATTATACCACATCTTCTTTTTTATATTTACATGTATAGTATGATCTGTGCTAAAACAATAAACAGAAGACAAAAATATGGCAGACAGCAAACAACGACAACCAATGAATCTCTTTACTTTGGAGGGGCTTATAAAGATTGTGGCGGGGTTAATCATGTCTGTGGGCACTCAACCCTCTCCCAACCTGTGTCAGTTGTGAAACAGCAGAACATAAGAAAAGACACGAAATCTGTTGGAAAGGAATTGACTCATCAGATCGACACGAAGCACAAAAACAACAAAAAAAAGACAACAAAAGAAACAAGTTACCGATCCATTTGCTTGTTTTTGAATCCCTGATATTTATTTCAAGTGCACTATATTGTTATATGTTGATTTATCTGAATAAATATTGTTGAAATTAATATAAATTACTGATCCAAGAGTACTCAAAGTTACTGTTAGCTAGTTCAAAGCACATTTATTTACAACTTATAGATTAATCCTGTTTTCCCAGACTTAAACATCAATAAGTGTATATAAAAAGAAGATGTGGTATGATTGCCAATGAGACAACTCCACAAGAGACCAAATGACACAGAAATCAACAACTATAGGTCACCGTACGGCCTTCAACAATGAGCAAAGCCCATACCGCATAGTCAGCTATAAAAGGGCCCCGAAATGACAAATGTAAAACAATTCAAACGAGAAAACTAACGGCCTAATTTATGTTACAAAAAAAATGAACGAAAAACAAATATGTTACACAGCAACAAACGACAACCACTGAGTTAAAACGTTACAGGCCTAGGCTCCCGACTTGGGACAGGCACATACAGAATGTGGCGGGGTTAAACTCGTTTGAAGGCGCCAACCCTCCCCTAACCTGGGACAGTGGTGTAACAGTACAACATAAGAACAAACTATAAAAATCAGTTGAAAAAGGCTTAACTCATCAGATGGATACAAATAAAAATACATCTAACAAAAAACAGAGTGGACGTGGACGGGTACTTATACATCCCCACAACAAAAAAAGACACTAAGTATAGACCTGAGAGTACTCGCAGTTACTGACAAAGTGTAAAGACGTCATAAATATTCCGGGAAATGCTAGCATATGACCTTGTGCAATGCCAAGCTATAAGTATTGACAGAATGTATGACCATACGTGCTAATAAAATTAATGCATATATAGCAACTAATGTTTTAATTTATCAAAAACAAAACTATTACAGTAACTGTGAGTATTGTTCAACCAATATTAAAAAATCCTACTGCAGTGGTCTTTAGAATAATTTTATTCAAAAGATCAATAAATTTACATGGATCATATTTAAATTTACGGGCTCTGTAAAAATTTGGACGCGTTGCATGTATCTCATTTGAGATAAACTATAGGTCATGTAGGTACAGCCAAACTTCCATAACAAGAATTTCATAATATTTTCCAGGCATAGTGTATTTGTCAATGAGATGTATAAATAATATATATATATATATATATATATATAGATTCTACCACTGCATCGAGTGTGATACGATATTTATCCACTCGAGACAGTTAAATTTTCAAATTTAAAACGCGAGGCTCGCCGAGCGTTTTAAATATTTAAAATTTAACTGTCGAGAGTGGATAAATATCGTATTACACGAGATTTGGTGGTGGAATCTGTTTCTCTAATGATTTTCAAACAAAACGCAGGCAAATTTATTCCTTCTTTTCGAATGATCTGCAAAAAGATGTGTTCTTTCTATGTGATGTCATCAGGCATGGTCGCCTTTTTTCATGCCGTCACAATAGGAAATTCAGAGGAAAGCAAGAAAATTCGACGTCATAATCGGATTTTAACCAATGAAGAACTGAGATCAAACGAACCACACGTTGATTAAATTTTTTTTATACAATGGGTGCAGAAAGGGATAAATTGACGAAGAATTAGAGAAATATATATATATAGAAATATTTCAAAGTCAGAAAGCCAAGCCATGATAAACTGAAAAGACCGTGATGATATTGTTATCAAACAAGCAGACAAAGGAAGTGCCGTTGTTGTAATGAACAAGACAGACTACATCGAAGAAGGGAATCGTCAGCTCTCTTACACTAAATTTTATAAAGAATTAACATGTGATCCAACCAAGGAAATCAACAAAAAAATAAATGACGTCCTCTCAGAAATGAATAAAGATAAACAAATTGATGACGATACGTACGATTATCTACGCCCAGACGAAACTTGTACAGCCGGTCGATTTTATTTACTTCCAAAACTCCATAAAGAAGGAATTCCAGGGAGACCTATACATTTTTTGTAGTATCAGCTAATGGCCATCCCACCGAAAAAATTTCAGAATTTGTTGATTACCACCTTAGACCACATGTTAGACAACTGCCATCACATATTCAAGATACAACTGACTATTTGAAGAAAATTAATTCCTTAAGTCCTTTACCTAATGACACAATTTTGGTTTCGATGGATGTGTGTTCTTTATATTCCAAAAGATGAAGGAATAGCAGCGTGTGAAAAAGTAAGGAACACTCGAAGGGATAAACATCCCCCAACTTACTGTCAAGTTCAATTGCTTAAGCTAGTGCTTGAAAATAACAACTTTATTTTCAACGACAAGCACTTTTTAAAGATTGACGGAACTAGTATGGGAACAAAAATGGCACCTTCTTTTGCCAATATTTTTATGGGGGATCTTGAAGAACGCATCCTTTTGAGTGTGCCATACAAACCCTTGTCATGGCTCCGTTTTATTGATGATATTGACATGAAATGGAACGATACTGCAGAACATCTACAAGATTTCTTAGATCATTGTAACCAGTTTCATCATTCAATTAAATTTACATCTGAATTTTCAAGCGAGAAAATTGCTTTTCTCGACACCACCACATTTGTAAAAAACGGGGTCATGACAACTGATCTCCACACAAAGAAAACTGATAAACACCAGTTTCTTTCTCCAAAAAGTTGTCACCCGAAACACTGCTCCAGGAGCATTCCTGACAGTCAAGCCATCAGACTAAAGCGAATTTGCTCCTTGGAATCCAAACTCAACTATCGTTTGGGACAACTCAGAAAACAACTAAAATCAAGAGGATACAAAACCAAAAATATCACAGAAGCTTTTGATAAAGCCCAAGAAAAAGATCGAAATATCCTCATGGAATACAAAGATAAGACGACCCGCCCAGATAGAATTCCGTTTGTTGTAACCTTCCATCCCGATTTGACAAATATTTCATCTACTGTCCGCAAACACTGGCGTCTTATCGAAAATGACTCTTCCTTAAAAAAAAATTTTCCATCACCTCCTGTTATTGCCTATCGCAAACCCAAAAATCTCAAAGACATATTTGTTACATTTAAAGTAAAAAACAAGAGACTTCTAAAATTGGGTGTTACAAACAATGCGGCAGAAGCAATTGTAAGTGCTGTAAAGTCGCCAACACTGACCACTCTTTCACCAGCACAGTAACAAAGATATATGTATAGAAATATAAGGGTTGCCGGTAAAAGAGGTTTACAAAATACAAAATGTAGCCTTGGAAAAGAGCCTGAGGGGTTAGAAAATTATCAGGAAAGGTTGAATAATACACGAGAACATTAGAGGCGAACATCCTTTCAATTATATTAAAGAGCTCTTACCTTTGTTATTTGAAACTCTAGAGTTTCAAAATATCTGTTATTACATGTCATCTTGAGTTTATTCAATTGTTCATGATCACTTTTGTATCTCCATTATGAAACCATATCTTAGCAAAAATATGTTGACAGATTTCTGTATCCGAATTTGAAACGTACACAATATGTTTTCTTTACATTTATTTTTGTAAAGATTGCGTGATATTAATTGCAAATCATCAAAATAAATATACCACGAAAGATTAATGAAATGTTTGACTGATAAGTAACGATTGAACTTCCTTGAAAAATATATTCATTCAAAATTTATTTCCGTCCCTCACTTAGTAATTTCAACGCAGAACGGATGTTATCAATTATAAAATTGTAGCATTATCAAAAAAAAACATGTTGGATAATCGATTTTCCTGGTGCTCGGTCTTCCCTTCGGAGCCTTATATTGTAACAATATAAGAGTGGATATTAAGAGGAAACCGGACTGCCCGGTGAGAACTATTGACCTTCGGCAAGAATACTAGCAATCTTAGTCATTTAAGATTGGAGTTGAACGCGCCTGCCACGTGCGGGGCTTAAACAAACAACCTCAGTGTTGAGAGGTTATTGGTACAGTAGTAGAACTACTTAGACCACTCGGCCACCGAGGCCTCATTGAGTAATCAGAGTGACTGCAAGAATCATGTAACTCATTGTCATTTGTGAAGAAGCAGCGTAGTAATAAAATTTACAACAAAATGTAATTCAACAGTATTTAACTTGTTATTTCAATCATTATAAAACAACAAATACATCAGTCGCGGATTCAGGGGGCCATAGAGGGCGTACCTCTTTGATCGGAAAAAACAGTCCTTAGTTTTTTGCGTAAATTTGTCAAAAATCATTTTTCGCCTCGCTCTGCTCGGCGTTATATACTATATATATTTCTGGTTCCGCCCCTTGTTCATACTCTGCATTCAACATACACTAATTTAGCAAAATGTAATTGGTATTGTTTATACGGTTATAATCTAACTTTGATCATTCTATTTTCTATTTCAATATACTGGCATTGCAAATAATTTTTATGAAGGGCAAACATAAGATAATCACATGCATCCATTTTAACGGTTTTGATATAAGTGGTTTAAAGTTGGTGTGTAATTTGTACAATATAAGTCTAAGAACAATTGTATAGTACTTTTGTAGAAACAGCCGTATGCTATGCAGTAATTTAAAAACCAAAAGATACCTAAATGAGAAAAAGGAGATACGGGCCCTGTGTTAAACTTTTTTTTGGCATTTTATATATCTTTTTATTATGTGTTTTTATTTATAATTCATTTGTACTTAGATGACGAAACTAATTAATGTGACAACTCATTAACAGACATTCTATATCGGATTCTATAATATAGTATGGTTACACAGCACCAGGGCTAAAACCACAACATATTGCATAATATACATGTACTTTAACCAAACGGAAGGACACACATTTGCTACGGCAAATTTGCAAATCTAACTTTGTTGGGTTTATTTTCAGAATTTCAAAGATGAAAATATCTTAATTAACAAAAGGATAAACTTGTTCAATCATTTCGTAATATAACTGAACAAGCAAAAAAAATATTGTTTCGTGGATCTTTGAAACTGAAATGTTGATGTGAATTAAATATACCATGGACTCTTTAGGAATAAGGAAACACGGACGGCGAATAACATACTTGAAAGAGACGGTATAACCAATTATTAAATATATATATTTAATAATTGGTTATAACTAATTATTAAATGTTATAACCAAATTGAATCATCAACCAATTATTTAAATGTGTGCATTTAAAATTGTATCATATGCCCTTCAATTCACCTATTACTTGTTCATATTAATCCTGCATTTTTACAAAGTACGGTCATATTTTGTCAAAGTTAGCTGTATTCGATCGATGCTTAGCCGAGGACCAATACAGCTGATGGTGACTGACTGTACGAGAGTATACTATTTTGTTTTAATACATGATTGATTGTTTTTTGCTTAATGTCCAGTGACAAATATTTCATGCATGTTCAGGACGATTTTTAATACAGGATCAATATTGAAACACTCATTTATTAAGCAATGACTTAAAATAACCAACAAAATCTGACTGATAACAAATACGACTGTAAAACGACTTATAGAGGATTAATATGAACTAATGGCTTAATTTTCATTAAAATGCAAGGAATGACGAATAATCCTTAAAATTAATAATGTGCGATGAATTACCCTTCTATTCACCGGTGAATAACACTTTGATCCTCACGATTTTACACGAGTTATCTGCAATCAAAATGACGTTACTGACGCAAGTTAAAATTAACAAATGATAACGGTCACGTTAGAAGTCCGTCGAGTGACAAGGCAACAAGTATTGGAATTTCTAATGGTTTCGGGGAAAGCTTTCACACACGACTCTTTTCAGGGTCATCACTATTTTACAGAAAGGATGTACCTTTATTGTACATATGAGGCATTTTAAGACATAAATAATTGTCTGAGGTAAGTGTTTTGATAATCTGTTGCTACAGTAAGGCATGTTCAAGAGCTTCTTTGACATGTATACTCCGATAGTTATAAAGGCCTTTCTACTGCTAGTTCGGTATTATAAAACAGTTGTAACCGCTAAGATGCGGTGCATATCCAAAACCTATCGCGAAATGCACACTTCAATTTTCTGACACCTTTTTGAACTTATAATCAGGAGTTAAATTCTGTATTACACCAGTTAAAATTCTATATTAGACCTGTTTGTCTGTATTAGACCTGTATTAATTACCAGTTCTCAGACACAGGGTATTGTAACAAATGGAAGATGTTTAATGTGTTTTTTTCATTGGTTAATATTATGATATATAAGGTAAACTTGAATGATCATGAACTGATTAGACAACACCATGCGTCCTACTTCCCATACAACCTTCAATAAAAACTATGACGGATGTTCACACAATTAATTATGTACGCAACAGACTAATAACAAACATTTATTTTTATAGCCATGTAAACATATATGTTAATTTCCTTTCCCAATCTAAATATTGTAGCACATGACACCACTTATTTCTGGGAATATACGAAGATTTTCATACTTCGGTAAGATTTTATAATTAATATCGTCATAACAATTAATTTTAATGCTAATTTTATTATATTATGTGAATAATTTTTCCGGTGATTTATTTCTTGAAGAAAATAAATTGTGAAACAACTATAATCAGTTGTTAATAAATTTAAACTTATTTATTGTTGCTTAAACATTTTAATGAACAGAATATAGAAATAAATTAAACTGATCAAATATAATTTTACAGAATTTTAATGTAATTGACTATTATAATAATAAACAAAAGAATAAAACTTTGACCAAAATGTTGTTTAACATTCAATTTGATTTCTATAAATGCAAACTAGTAACTTTAATTTACCGATATTCAGGATTTGTAAGTCCATGATGATATACAAACCAAGAAAAACTTATTAAAAGTAAATAGCATTAACCCCAAATGAAGCAAGACCGGGGCTTTTGGTCATAAAACTTTACTCAGTACTCTGAGTACAAAATTTGTGCTCGAAACACCAAATCCAGTATTTTGATTGGTTTGATTTCTGAGTCTGGTACGATAATCGTGCCCGAAATTTTTATGATTGCAAAACCGGGTGTGTCGACATGGTATGTGTTTCTTGCTATGCTATGTATGCATCATCCGCAGTATGAATCTCAGCTTAAGATTAAAGGATAATAGACGGCATTCTGAACTACGGAAGGCGACCAGAAAAGGTCATTACATGAACCCTATATCAAAATGTAATGCATATTTTCTTTTTCATCTTTATGATCGGTATAATACAAGTATAATGCGAGGTTGTCAGAAGGGTCGTTGACCATCTTAATAGTAGTCAGCAAAATGTCAAAGTGAGGTAATCGAAATGTTATACACCTCCACTATTATAATATGTTGAGCAATTGGTAATTAAAATGAACCTTAAAAAAAGGGGGGGATACTAAGGGGAAGACAAATGAAGAAAAAGTCGCTTGTTTTAAGAGTTCAATAGACCGACTAACCTGCATGATGGCTGAAAATCCACATAAGGATATAGTAAACATTATACTATTGTATTATATTTTCCTATGGTGCAGATTTTTGTAAAATCGCGATAAAGTGTAACCTTTCGATGTTTTGGTTTTTCTTGATCTGATACGGAACCAGTTATAATTCATACCCGAATGATAATTTCAATAATTTTTGCAATAAAATGAAACCACAATGTGTCAGCTCGCCTGACAGTGTGCAGCAAAGCTTTAATTTTATTTGAGACAAATAAATGCAAACGAAAGTTCATCTGTTACTGTCTGCCTAGGCCGCAAAACACAAAAACCAATCTACAAGAATAAAAACAATTTTCATTATGTACGCAAATACAAATTATGAATCAAATTAAAGATTCTATTCTTACACACATTATTATTCACATGAATCAAAAATAACACCAGAAAAATACATGTTGTCAGGGGGGGGGGGGGGGGGGGGGGACTTTACTGCACCAAAAGCGAACCTCGAATGACAATATCTTAAATTCACATAACCACCAAAATTATAGCACGTAATATTTGAATTGACCTTATTCAAATATTATGGTCAGTTCTAACTCAACCAATGAAATATACATTTAACCTATTATATACATTCAACACGTGTATCAATGATAAACAAATACACGTGATAATGTTAACATACCGGTGTACATAAATTTAATAAATATATTTATATTGCCTTTCGTAGTCGATGTTCACAAAAAAATAACAGAACAATCAATCCTCTAAAGGTTTAATATACAAAAAAATGACAGAACATACAGGTACGAGCATTTTAGAATCATATCTCGGATTAACTGTTTATTTTCTATCTAAATAATTCATGCTGTGTTCCTAGCTTCTATTAAGCCCGATTCATGTTTTGTATTATTGTTGACAATGAATTAAATTTGTGCTGTGTCTTGAGTTTTGTTAATAAGAATATAAATGTTCATCAAATGTTGTGTCTTTATGTTTTACTTTGTACAGTTGTTAATTTTAGTTCCTTTAAAATTGTTTTATTCTTAAGTTTTCCGGAGAGATTAATTCTATTCCACATCGGAATAGAACCGAATTAATACAGAAAATGTTAAGCATTTCTGTTATATTTGCCCGCTCAGTGCTGCCAACAAGAGTATATCTAACTGTAATGGCAATTGTGCATTATTTACTCTTACGCACCAAGACTATTCTTATGAGCTTCATCATTTTTTCTCGTTGAAACTTGGATCGAGTGATACTGTGTTTGTACCCGTTCTTTCTTTGTTTTTCGGTGGATGTTGAAAAACTTTTATGAAAATGTCTATACATGTATATGTTTTCGAGTTTTATTACATATCATAATCTAATTTCAAGCTTTAAAAAAATGGTTGAGAGTTTCCGTGGATGAAGATAAATTTTAACATTTTCTCACATGTTTGACGTGAGATATAGTTACATTAGTAACTAATCTCTGGGAATCAGATGTAAATGTAACAAACTAGATTTCAACAAAATTACCAAACCATCATTCTATTGAATTTCGTATTAGTTATCATGAAGGATTTCCGAAAAATTGTCCTAAATGTAAAAGCTCGCGATTTTTGAAAATCCCCTTCTGACCTTCGATTACAATTTTTTAAAATCAGCGCCATTTTAGAACTCTACGAAAGGCTTTCATCAAAAGAAATTATACTTATCTTCAAAATAAGACCAAAATTAGCCGTGACGTACATGTATGTCGGTCCATTTTTTTTTTCTCTATTTTACCCTTTTTGTCACCGAACTATAGATTCTACAGAATGGTTATATGTTTAATTTCATAAATCTCAGAGGGCTAATGGTGACATTTATCCTACCTTTTTTTATTTATACCATTTGGATTGCAGATTAAAACCTTTCATGGATGAATAGATGGCTATGTATTGTCCAGTTGCAACTATTACATATATATATTCAGGACGAACATATGCAAATAAATATGAATATGAACACTGCTTTGAACTAGACTATTACGCTGGGCGAGATTTTAAACGTGCCAGTTCACAAGAGTTCATAATAAACCACAGGAAGTTATCCATTTTACGTTCAGTAAAATAATATAAAAATAAGGAGATGTGGTATGATTGCCAATGAGACAACTATCCACCAAAGTTCAAATGAAGTGGATGTAAGCAATTATAGGCAGCCGTACGGTCTTCAACAATGAGAAAAACCCATACCGTATAGTTGGCTATAAAAGGCACCGACATGAAAAATATGAAACAGTTCAATAGAGAAAACTAACGGCCTAATTTATGACAAAACAATTTACGAAAAACAAATATGACAGACATAAACCAACGACAACCACTGAACTACAGGCTCCTGACTTGGGACGGGCTTATAAAGAATGAACAATAATGTTCAATCTTAATTACAAGTTTTCCAATACTGAATCACACATTTTTTCTCAATTCAGTACGGATTCTGATTTAAGTTTAGCCATGGTCGTGTTTTTCTTTGACTTATGGTTTTTAATTACCCCTTGGTTTCTTCTCCTCGTGTTTTTAAATGTTATTTTTTTTTAATATTTCAAGATTAAGTTGTACACCATCTCACGTGGTCCATTTGTCCAGCTGAGTTAATTAGTTGCTATTAAGAATATTCCTAACAAAATTGAGCCTCCACTGACATTTTAAGCCCTTTTCATCAATTAATTCTTTCTTTTTTTGTGTTTGTAAGTTTAATGTGCTTACATTATTTGTAACTCTCGTGCTGGAGCAGTTGCACAGAAACCTTGATGAAAAACGTATGTCTTATAATTTTGAAACTGTCTATAGCTTGATTGATAAAAAATGATATTTTGGTTTTTCAAACCTCTAAGACTTTTGGCACTGAAATTATTAAATGCAAGTGAAATTTCAACATCTGGAGTCCTCTCTAGTATCAAATTTAATCCTCGTCTTAAATATGAAAACAGCAACCTTTAGACATTTTAAATGCATTAGACCAACAATTTTGGTTTGGTCATCATCGACCAACTCTCTTGAAAATTGGCATTCGCTGCTTCTCCGTTAGGCAAGTGGCATTTATGAGTTAGAACAAAGACGGGTCGGCTCGGATTCCGATATTGTGTCTGGGTATATGTACCTCATAGTAATCGACAATCAATGTTTGGGAGAAAAATTATTCTATAAAAAAAGTTGCTAGTGGAGGATATGTAGACAAGTGTCAGATTATTGATTGATAAGTTATAAATATTCTCTCTGGTTTGAATAATAAAAAACAAACATATTTAAACATTGACAGACTTTGCTCAATAACAGTCTCGTTTTCTTATGTGAAAGATCGATAATCAAAAGGTCCGTCGCTGGTAATTATCTGGATAGATTATTTAAACTGTCACCGCCTCGGTGATTTCGTGGTAGCGTGCTTGGCTCGAGTGCCTGATGTCAAACCAAAGTCTTGTCAATTGGTTTTTAGAAGTTACAGCAAAGACTGTCCGGTCCGTATTCAGAATAATGTGCCCGGGTAGGGTGACATGTCTTCCTTCCTGATGACTGTTCTCTTGCACGTTAAAAATCCGACTCAGCGTGTCGGTTTAGTACAAAACATGTCTCATATTCATATTACTGTAACATTTTCTCGTGCTGAATAGGCATATAACTTTAACTTGCCACTGGACGTTAAACTTTCATCCATCCATCCATATTCAATATTGGGTGAAAAAAGAGAACATGTAGAATTTCAACAAATCTGGTTTATCTTCAGAGATTTTAATATAAGTAACTCAAATGTAAAGTTTTATACATATTTCATGAACAAATTCTAGGCCTTGAATATGATGACCAATCATAACTTTACAGTTCACAGTATGCATAGTTTATCTAAAGTCCTGTATGCAAAGTGAATTAATAATATATATGCATATATGTAAGTCGAAACACCTGAATGTGCTTTCTTGTGACCGTGGCATAAAAAAAAATACAAGCTAAAGACACAAAAATACCTCTATAAAACTAACAATAGTGTGTTCTATCCTAAAAATATACTAAAATTC